CTTTCCCTTCGAAATGGAGAGTCATGCCGCAATATTTCGTAAGTAATGTTTTCAGGCTCTGACGATGTCCGTAACATGAAGGGCCTAAGCTCGACACGGAGTTAGCGGGGTCGCAGGAAAGCGATCAGGGGTCTTATTCGCACAATTCAACAGTCACAAGTCCAAGACAACCCTCCTGTGTCATCCAGTGAAACCAATTTACCAATCTCTTCCACCTGCTGCTCGAACGGAAAGAAAGATATGCCAATATTAAGGGATTCTTCAAAAACCAGTTTTTCTACAGTTTTCATTCACTTTCATACACTCGTTCCTCGTGTTCAGAATATTGGTTGTTTTGTCTATTTCTATAGGCTCCCAAATTATATAATTATATACTGTCATATTCTATAAAATGATGTGTTTTCAACCATTCTGTTTCGTGTCCTCTATTATCCAAGTGATAAGTCATGTGTTTAAACACATCAGATTTTTGGGTGCAATTTCCTTATCAGATAGTTTTGTTTTCGGATCTTCTGGATGGGTTGGTGGCACCGTTATCCGAAATTCTCAAAAAGAATGCATAATTTAGGAAAGTATTACTTTTTTATACTTTTTTAACCACTCAGCAGCTCGCCAAACCTTTTAGAAATTTGACGCCATGACAAAACAAAGAACTGAGAAATGTGGTTTATCTGTCTGATCTGTCCGTATTCTATTTAAGAGTATGGAAAAGTAATTTTCAATTAATCCTAGCGGATAATATTCGGGTCTGCCAGATTTGGACTACTTATTATCATCGATTTCATAACCCAATAAAATGAGTTAAGAACACCCATGTGCGTGGGTTTCATAAAAACATCTGTACAGAACTTTTTATTTTCTTTATCCATTTAAGCATATATAAAAGAAGCGGAGGATCCTTTGTCAGATATATAGTAAATTATTTATCCAATTTAATCTATTCATTAGTTAATATAATTCTTTTAATCTTTTTTTTCATTCATAACCAGATTTTCGAGACTACCAGTAAATCAGTTATATTATAGGTAAATTAGATGTAGTCTCGAAATTCTGCTTATAAATGAAAAATAAGTAATGTAGTCAATTGCTATAGCAAACATAACTTTGCTTCATCGACTTTCCCACCAAAGAATGCGATATGATAATATGCATGGCCCTGAAATTCATATCTGTCCTGTGACCCAAGGGCACTCGTGACAATTCAGCGGAGTGGTTTACGTATCGAGCCTGTACGCTGAAATGCCATGGTTCGACCTCCGCTGGAGGTGTTGATAAGACCTATGCGAGGTCGAAACTGCGGTCCATCCTGGATGAGAACAGCTTTTGGGAAAGCAATTCTATGTGAAATTCAATGGAAACGTCAGCTCTTCTCACATCATCGTGGGAAAATTTAACTACCAGTCCTTCATCACCTTAAAGGAAAAAGGGTGAATACATCTCATACTCTTCTGCTTAGCGTTGCCAACTCAGAAAAGTCTCCGGCAAGGCAAATTCCATCCAACCAACTTCTACTTTGGAGTAAAATGTTGGTTCACAATAATTATTTAGGGAGACTTTGAAACCCAGCTTTTTCTCGCATGGTATCCTGTATGATTAGTTGCACAACGTCATTCATACTTTTTGCTATTTTCTCACGAGGGATACCCACTTCCGAGCTAGAAGAAGATTCACTATCCTTTAGCAGGCGTTCCCTAGATTCACCATTAGTCCACTTCGACAAAAGCTGCTAATGTATATTACAGACTTTACAGTGGGATATTAAAAGCGACTGATTTAGTTTGAATGCTCCTCAGGCATCCCAGATAAATTTTTGCCTACTTGTGAATTCGGGGTCAATTGTTTGCGGTCCTCACTTTTCTTTAGAAGGAGTTGAATCAGAGACAATAATCAAACAATAATCAGGAACCCTTAATTATGGCTATACAATTTGTATATCGAGCATTTAAGGGCTTTTGAAAAGGTTTCTTCATCTCCCTACGAAGCTTTCCTGTTCTTATGCTCTAAGGTTTTCTCACATAGTTATTCAGGCTAGCGAGACCAGACTTAAGTTGAGATACATGGCCGTCTTGATGGTGTCACCTGCACCGATATTGATGCTGAAATGGACGAAACAAAGAGAACGCTTTATTTACCCTCCTCATTGAGTGTAAATTTAGAATCTTAGTGCACAAATAATAAAAGTATCATCAACTAATGTTTTGATCTGCGGAAAATGCGTCCTTGATTTTAGTTAGATGGTCAGGTAGACTCAAGCACATGCTGCTAGGAAAAATGGAATCGGCCCACTATTAAATAAAGTGCAAAATACAAAAATAGGTTTAAGTAGACCAAAAATTCAGAAGCAATTATTGCAATCAAGTGAATTCACCGAGGTTCCCGATAATAATCCCTCGCACATACAATTATAAGAGTGAGTAAAGGCTAAGGATAGGGAAAACTGGAAAAAATTTCTTGTCTACATTCCCAGCAGGCGAATTGACTTAGCCGCTCTCTCTTGGTACATTAAGCCAAACTATGGACGCATTTGCCTTAAGAGAATTGCAAACTTACATAAGCATAGTATAATATGCTAAAATGTATGATTATAAAGCTTTTTAGGATATTTTAAAGCAGCTTGCTGAAAAGTTAGAACGAAGTCAACCACATTGAATCATACTATAAGCCTTTAAATGAAGCCAATAAATTTAATGCATAATACTTTCATATAATATCATATCATATATATATATATATATATGTATATGTATGTGCATATATAAGAATATGCTGGAAACGTGAGATTCGTAACAAGATAGGTTCAGTGAAATAACAGGTAAGCTTGCATCAGTTTAGGATTTTCTTAAATTACAATTAGACTGTGACTGAGCTTTGGCTGCTGTACACATAGATTCAGGGAGTGTAAAATAGATACATACATTGTAGAACAGGAAGTTGGATTTAATTAATCATCGCTAGTCCAAATATAAATTGCTTGGTTTGATCACCACTTTTTAGCTTGACTAAATGCCTCTCAATTTACTCAAACGCTTGCCAACGTTTGGGCCGATGTATTATTTAATCGGCTTACCAGCCCCTCGTGTTTCGCTGATTGGTTCGGTGACCTTATTAGCTAAGTGATGAATAAAGAAGTCATGATCAGCTGCAACAAGCAGTTCCAAGTTGCAAGGCTAAAAAAATCGCTGTTTCCAGCGCGTAAAGAGGGAATATAAAAACCGTGTTTAGAAAGTATCCAAAATGCTTTCTTTTGAGGGCCAACAAAAAAGACTGGGTGGAAAGGGTGTAGCAAAGTCAAAAAGCAGATAAGTGACAAGGCAGTCGAGGGGGTTATGACGAAAAAGAAAATAGAGTAAAGGAGATAAATGGAAATAAGTACTTTGGCGGAAAAGGTAAGTAACTTTCATGCTTCATAATATTTCATGGTATAGAAGAGTATTTCATTTATTGCTTAAACAGGTCACACCCTCTCATACAGAGGAGTACATATATAAATATGACGAACTTTGGGCATGAAATGTCTGCCCTATGGAAGTTTTTATCAGAATAATAATGATGATGATGATGATGATGATGATATGCAGTGGTGGGGCGTTAACTGAGAATGAGTAAATAAATGATCTAGGAATAGTATGGGTGGCTTTAGACGAAATTGTAGCTAGAAAGGGTGAATTTTAGTCGAGGAGTCTCAATTAGACAATGGTAGAAAGAAAGGAAGCATCGAAAGCCACTCCACGTGTCGGTTTCGGTTTTCCAGCCACCGATCTGGAGTATCTAAGCGACCAGGCGTTGTTGAATTATGGAAACAAGTAGATAAGTATGCCGGCATGAAAGGAGGTACAGAAAAAAGAATAGATAAGACATGCGTTTTTTGCCGTAACAAGAGGCAAGGAAATGGAAGGTTTATGAGTCTAATACAGGTGGAGTGAAATGCACGTCTTTACGGCTAATACACACACACACACAAGCGTAAACAATCCTAAACGCATATTTGCACGACCGTCGAAAATGTACACGCTGCGATGCCGATCTGGGCTCGGCCTCTCAACAAAACGGGCTGGTCAGCTCAAGCCTGCAAAGATGTTTAAGGGGTGAAGCTTAGTGAAAGACACCTTGCCGGAGTTTATAGTCTCGTGCATGTGCACGACATGAAGGTTTATTAATATGGGTATATATATATATATATTTGTTTTATAGAGGGAGGGAGCGAGGGAGAGACTTCTTGGTCACTTCCAAATTCAAGTAGATCTGCTCTCCAATCAATCATTCATCTTTATGCTTTACATTATTTGACGAGCTGATTCTGACATAGTGAATTGATAGAAAGGTATCAAAATGAGGGTTTGTGCTTTGTCGAGTATCCGAACTAAATGCTGGACATGCTCTCCTGCATTGGGGTAAGGTGCAAAAGCATAGGTCTCTGAACACCTTCACGGATGGGCACACTAATGCGCTTGCAGGCCAGGCTAATGGGCATAGATTCCTCATCTTCCTCCTCTTCTTCTTCCTCTCCGTCATATGGCTCTTCGTCATAGGCCTCTTCCTCATTGTCTTCCACTGCTTTTTTAACCTCGGCCCTGCCGACAAGCTGAAGCCTCTGCTGCTCTTTCTCTCCTCTCTTCATTCCTCCCAGTTCAGCGGCTTTTGTCCGCTGGTGACATCGGCGTTGGGCTCTATCAGAACTGGCAACGGAGACCTGTTTCTTGTAGTTTGGGCCGAATCGAAGTTTAACACAGGATAGGGAAGATGCGGAGGACGGAGGAAGAGAAGTTGATGAAGACGAGGACGAGTTGGATGAGGAAGACACAAAGGATGGTGCGTTTGCTGACTGGGTGCTGGGACCGGCTGATGTCACCGACTTGCCGGCAGGGTGAAATTGATGCAGTGAAAATTCGACCCAGCGCTCTCCAAGACTCTCTTTTCTTTGGTCCGCAGCAACAGAATCAGGCGGTCCTGTAGGCAGACAGACGGCATGAACCTCAGCCAAGTGACCAGCCAAATCATCGGGATGCAACCATCGCGCTGCTGGGGCGCCTCCTTTGGCAGTCAGGCATAATGGACAAGCTAACCGTGAAGAAATATCGACTGCCCGTTGTTCCTCTGCCTCAACACCTTTCATCGGAGCCTCGTCAAGCCTACTTGCGCTTTTGTGGTTCTCACTAAGGCTAGAATAGGCATGAGTTTCGGCCAACCGAGGCTTAGGGCTTTGAATTTTGAGATGACCTAGACCAAGCGAAGCCCCGACCAACAAGTCATTTCGGAGGCCCTCTGATCGGGCCAGCTGGAGGCCTTGATGAGCATGTTGGTTAGTAACCAGGTGTAGACGAAGACGTTGGCGAGATGGGAAGCTGGCCTGGCAGCCTGGACACTCATAAGCCCAGATGACAGAATGACGCTGAAGTGTGAGCAGTCAAAGAGGTATGAAAAAAGTAGATGGTTAACGTTTGCTCTGGTGAGTCTTTTGTATCTGTTGCTCGATTTTTTGGGTTTTTAATCATGTTATTGAGCTTACTTCCATTTCGAGTGAAAGTGTTGCGTGAAGAAAGTGATGATGTCCGTCATACGACGGACGAAAGCTTT